TTTTGCTTCTCTTTTCTAGTAGGGTGGGGGGCTTGCCAATTTCATTTCCGACCTGCCGGAAGTATAAACGGGAACCTTGCTGAGCATTGAGATCCCAACAACTTGTTTGAATTTTATTCCTTTGTTAAAATGATAAAAAGTCGTCATATATACATAACTGCATGTATTATTTAGTGGTATTAGTAATAGGTGCAGAGATAGTAATAGTAATGTAGCAAAATTTATTTTAAGTGGTTGCAGTAATGGATAAAGGTCCATGCTTATTGTTAGCACAGAGTGCATATTAAAGTAAAGGCTGTTACTAACAAAAGTAATTTACTCATTGCACATAGAGATTACACATCGAAGACATTGCCCTTCAATGAGTAAATCAAAAGCTTTGTTGATGTCTTCAAACCTCACCTCATGTGTCACAAACTCATCAAGTTGTAGTTCCTGAGGGAATGGAAGAAACAAACAAAAAATTAGAAGGGTATCCAGCTCCAGCTCCAGGTATAAGTTAGGTGAAAACCAATTTGAATGACAGTTGGCTGTTAAATCACCTTGTCCATGTAACGATTGAGGAGAAGAGGGATATCAGATTTAGGTTTGAGTCCTCCGAATAAGGATCCCATTAGGTTTTTTCCACTATGAAGGATCTCTCCAGAGGGGAGGCTCACCCGTGACCCTGGCTTGTCTACACCTAACACAACTGTTTTTCCCCAACCCTGAAGTTGAAACAAAATATTCAGTATAAAGCAATGAGCTGATATTGGTTCAACTTCAAACACCTTGTCTCGCATAGACTTCGTAAACTACGATATATATGGGGTCATGTAGAGCAACTACAGCATACAGGAGCGATATGACATTCTTAAAAGGACCAAATATCAGCAAGAGAAAGAAATTCAACAAAAGTAATGATAGACTATGATAGTGAAGAGGGGGTGAGGGCGGACAGAGACCTTTCGGCAGCAAGCGTAAGCTTCTTGCACCAATGATGCCAATCCAACGCATTCAAAGCAATAGTCTGCACCCCCACCAGTCATCTCAATGATCACCTGTACATGTCAAAACGAAACTGCCAATACTTAGCTAAATAACAGAGTCAATCAGGGGAAAACGACCAAGCCACGAATAAGTGTGCATAAGAGTACAAAACACTGTAATGAAAACTCCACACAGTTGATGAATAGTTGTAGAGAAAGACCTCGCTAACAGATTTATTCTCACAATTTGCAGGGTCGACAAAGTCAGTGAGCCCAAACTTTTTTCCTGTGCCAATAAGAAACAGTTATCCAAATTCCTCCCGCAAAGGAGGGCATCTCTGCCATACATTCACATGATTATAGAGCTTTTCACTGCCTAAAGGAAAATCAACTACTTCTGATAAGATCCAAATACCAATTTCAAATTTCTGTTGGTTCACATCCACACCAATGATTCTAGTAGCTCCACACAGTCTTGCTCCCTCAGCAACCTGGATAATTCAACCATGGATGTGATGTGAGCCTTCTCATACACTCAGTCAAATAAGTAAAAAGATATCCTGAGTTAGTTCTGCAAATGCATACAGCTAAACCAATTGAACCCAGTCCAAATATAGCAACAGTAGATCCCTCCTCCACATTTGCTGTTCTCCAAGCAGCACCGACTCCTAAATCCAAATTTGAGAAATATCATAATGTGCTGTAACTTTTGGTGAGAAAAGGATGGGGTTCCTGAAGGCAATTCAAGTATAAAATTTGCAAACACCTCATCAAGTCACTCAAGAATAAGACTAGAACATAAGGAAATTAAAATAATACCGGTTGATATTCCACAGCCGAGAAGACAGGCCCTGCTTGGAGTTACTGCAGGGTCAATCTTTGTGACATGGGCTATGTCTACCACTGTATACTCAGTAAAACTAGACACGAACAAGAAATGGTATAGAACCTCCCCATTGAGGTCAGTGAATCTGCTTGTCTCGTATCTTGGCATAAAAGGAGAGACCTTGAAGGGGAGTTTTGTACATAGGTTACTCTTTGTCGATCTGCAATCTGCACATTCTCCACATTGTGACATGAATGTTGGGATGACGGTATCTCCTTCAGTTACTTCATTGACATCCTCCCCAACACTCTCCACAATCCTACAACGAATATTCGCATATTAGCTTTGGTCTTTCATTCTTCCCCTTAATTATATGACAGTTTTACTTTGTGATTCCTAGAAACAAAAAATGCGAATGCTAATAACAAAACCATATGGTTGGAGCTCACCCGATGGCTTCGTGACCGAGAATTCTTGGGAAGATTCCGGGAAAGTCCTAGCAAATAAAAAGCTATGGATAAGCATCAACAATTTCTTGTAACTATTTTGTTTTTTTTTCTTTTTCTGAATGAATGAAAAAAAAAGGTATGGGTTTGATCTTTGATTCACTGACAATAAGCTACCTTCATTCTCCAGAAAGTAATATCGCTGTGACACAGAGAGGTACAGATAATTCGAATGCGGACTTCATGAGGCATTGGGGGTGCCACAATGATTTCTTCCATCACTAGAGGCTCACCTGGTTTGCGACTCACCGCAGCTACCGTTTGTTTTACACACAGATTTGCATTGCATGCAACAATGTTATCAGTTTGATTTTCATCATATGACAATTCATTCTAACTTATAAGCAAAGCAAAGCAAGAGAGTTGACCAATAATCAAAGAAAAAGGTTTTTAAAAGCTCATGAAAAAAGAACCTCTGCATCGAATAGGCTTCCCTCTGCTTCCACTTGACGACTTCTCAGGATCCATAGCTAGCTAGCGCAGAAAAACACTCACACACACACACACACTCTCTCTCTCTCTCTCTCTCTGCGTCTCTGACTTATTGTTCAATCTTCCAGTCAATCTAGCTGCAATTAAAACTGGAAAATTGAACAGCTGATACTTCGCTGGCCAACGAATGGTTTTGGATGCAACTATGAGTAGGTAAAGGAAAGAGACAAATGTAACAAACAAAAAACAGGAAAGAGAAACTAACAATAGCTTCTCACTGGTATGATGTTATCTTCTGTATCCTCATGTAAATATGCACAAGTCGTTTAGAGAATTGGAATGAATGAATTATGAAATTATATGCAGGAGCAGGCGTTTTCAAATGAATATGGAAGTCGTATTAGTACAGCTACAGAGCTACAGTTTTATAAATTATAATATATTTGGTTGTTACAATTTACACGAAAATTAGCCAATTTCAACTCAAGTGTCAAGTGTCAAAACATGTGCGTCTTATGTGGCCAGGGGTTGCATCAAATCAAACAGAACAGATATATAATAATAATATAATACATTTTTCTTTTAAGTACTCCATCTGTTTAATCATTAATTTATTTCTAGAATTACTGTTTTATCGTGTAAATAATACATGTCCTAAATTCTTCCCCACTCAAAGATTGTGGGTTTTTTTTAGAGTGCAAAAATAAAGGGAGCTCAATACTTTACGCCCTTTTTTGGGCAAAACCCTAACATTTAACTGATCACTGATGCCGGACCTCATTGGTTGTCTTGTGATATTATTTTTCTTTTTTAATTTGGAGCTGTCTGTTGTGAATTTATCTATCTACCCTCAACTCAACCTGCGCTTATTCCTTCAACTATTTTATAATATTTCAGAAATTCCTAAATTATGACAAAAAAAGAATTACTAAATTTTGATCGAAATTCCTAAATTTAAATTACCAGTGAATGCCATTTCCTAAATTTAACTTAAAAATAATATTTGTTTTTTAAGCCATTCTAAATTCTAATAATAACTAGATGAAAAGCAAAAACAAATTAGACGCCAATAGGTAGTAGCTAGGTAGTACAACTTTCGTTTTACAGGACCCGAAGGTTCCCGAAATTTCCCGAAGTTTACATTTAGGGCTTTGAAAATTTGCAGGCTCTTTTCTCTCCTACGTATCGTAGTCATCGTTCTCCACAGTTTATAATTAAGGGCTTACAGAGACAGCGAAACCGGAATCGGACTTTCCGAGGTTGGGCTTGCGATCGCGGTAGGGGTTGAAAGGACTCTCTGGTATGTAGATTTGCTTTTCGAAGATCAACTTTTTAAAAACAAAATCTTGGAATTTCTATGTCTCACCACGATATGTATATATAGCCCGTGATATTGGGGTGCATGCCAACGTTAAACCCAATTATCTTGAATCCGGCATTTGAAGGTTCCAATGCAATGCCAAATCAATATGAGTCTTGTAGGGTTTGACTGCAAAACCCTAGATATTTGGCGTTGCTCTGTCATCTGTCATTTCCCTATATTATTTGAAACTTCAGATTCAGCTTAAGATAGCAATAGCATCAGGATTCTATTTCGTTTTGGATCAGACAATTTCTACTTTTCCCCCCTCTCCCTGTAGCGTTTCCCTTCAGGTTGCAGTCATGAATTTTTCACTACGTATGGCCTGCCATTTGGGATGTTATATGCCCATCTATAACCGTGTCTGAATTTGGTCTATGCTTGTCAAATTCCGTGTTGTTTCTGCACATTTTGTACTATCAGGAAGTTTTATCTTTGAAGTTAAAAAAGAAAATGGTGTTCCATTGCTTCTACAGGTAGCTACTAAAATTGGAAACTGAGGTTACTTTCTAAACCATTTCAGCTAGCATGGCAAATCAGCACTCCAGTGAAGGCTCTAGTTCTGGCCACGTTGCCGGGGAAAGTTCTGATTCAACTGTTGAGATCAATATTAAGACTTTAGACTCACAGATATATAGTTTTCAAGTGGAGAAAAATGTGAGCTCATGTCTTCCTCTCGCATTTCTATTTTTCTTGTTTTAACTTTAATATTTTGATCACTGTTTATGTATTTGGTGATGTCTTGTATAGTGCTTACTTATATGGGTTATAGTTTTGTTGTTCTTCCATATTCAAACTGTAAACCAGTTTCTAGGAGCTACATGTTTGTACATCAAGAATATGATCTCTTCAGGCTTGTTTCTTATATATATATATTTGTGATATTCATATATAAATTTTTATTTCAGATGCCAGTTTCATTGTTCAAGGAAAAAATAGCTAATCAAATAGGTGTTCCAGTTGGTCAGCAGCGGCTGATTTTCAGGGGAAAGGTGCTAAAGGATGATCATCCTCTCTCTGAGTATCGTATCCTACCATTTCACTTTTGATGTATATAGAATTAACACTGAGATTTTTTTGTTGAAAAGAACACTGAGATTATGACATTGCAACAACTTTGATATATGTAAATACATACATGCATATATACATATATATATATATATATATATATATATGAGCATACATGAGCATATGTTTAACCGTTGTGGGGATGATTGTGTCCTTTTTGGGATATGCCAACCACGCTAAGAACCATATCTAGGTCTGCTAAATATTTTGATCATTTTAGTGTGTTTCTGTGTTCAGGGAGTATGCTTGAAAATTAGAGTTACTGAATTTGATCTGTGCCTAACATCAGTTATAGCTTTGAGGTTGGTTAATGTATTGTGATCACAATACATATGTTGACATACGAAGCCTCTTGTATGCCATTTTTTTTCCCTTTTTATTATCAAACTCTTTTAGGTATTACATTAATCATTGTTTATCCCACCACTTGAGTTGAGCTCTATTACTAAACCTTTTGGGACCGCCCAAGTCCTAACTCTAATGTATTCATGATAGATCCTTGTTGTCCTGTAATATGGTTTGTCCCGCACATCTTACCTATTTACTTATCAGTTTCAGCATATAATTCCTTAACCTCTTCCAGATTTGGAAAATGGGCATACATTGCACTTAGTTATAAGGCAACCATCCCAGTCACAACCTTCATCTGGGACAAGTTCTGGCGACCCACATGTGAATAATGGTAATTGAGTATTTCGTTTTTGGGAAATGTTGGTACTGCAATTTCAGGTTCAGAGTCCTCCTAAGAGATTATATAAGCTTCTTGATGTAATTTGGCAGGAAATGAGGCTAGTGGTGTTCCTCGTGGTCGCATTGGACAGATATCACACAGCGTAGTCCTTGGGACATTTAATGTTGGAGACCAAGGTGAAGGCATTGTTCCTGACCTTAGTCGGGTTCGTATTTTGCTTCTTGTTTTGTGAAAGTAACGGGCTTTATATTTATAAATTGGCCAGGAAGGGTTTCTTAAAGTGGTACTTCTAGAAGCTCATTATGCTATGTTCTTTCTTAGTAGGTTATTGGTGCAGTTTTGAATTCTATTGGAGTCGGCACCCAGGCTACAACTAATGTTACAGGCAACGTACAGTCCACTACTTCGGTGAGCAATGCATGTTCCTTGAAATTACAACCAGATGTGTCTAATGTATCTATGAAAATGTTGTAAATTCTCACTTGTGGTCTGTATAAAATAAATTGATTAAAGTACCATTTTTAGCATCTGCAACTTAAGCTATATTATTTTTTATTAGTTTTTTTTGGAAACTGTTGTAATCTTGAAAAACTGAAGAAAATGTAGCAAGTGTTAAAGGGGTAAGGTAATTTGGTTCCTTAGGAGGATAGTATAAATTCTCATATGGACAGCAATAGCATTAATGTAGTTATGTTGGTTTTCCTGCAGTCAAACAATTCTGGCCAGTCTCCTCACGGAAATGATGCAGAAGGGTTGCATAATGTCATTGGTCCGAACCGAGGAGGAAATCAAGCACAGTCTGGACAGGCATTTCCTGCTCAACCATTTCCAACTTTTCCTCAAGCTGTGCAAAGTCCTGCAGCTGCAGCATTTCCAATTCCTTCGTTGAATATGGTATTATTATGATGTCTTGGTCATATTTCAGTTGGTGACATGTATATGACTGCTTATTGTCTTTTGTTTCCTGTTCAGCCAATTCCAGACTCTTTGAATACGCTCTCTGAGTTTATGAACAGAATGGAGCAGGCATTGACACAAAATGGTGATAAAGCATAAGCATTCTGTTATTATTCTGTAAGAAATGACTGCATATGCTAACTTTCCTGATTTATGTAGGTTACCAGCCAAATTTATCTGCAACAAACACAGGAGACGTGCCGAGGGTGAATTTACCTTCCAATGCACAGGGGATGCCCACACCTGAAGCATTGGGCATTGTTCTTCGTCATGCAGAGCGACTTCTAAGCAGTCATGCTGTTTCTGCACTATCTGTAATTTTCCTTGGAAGTCTTTTAAGTTTGCTTTTCCCTGTTGATTTCATTGTTTATGGTCGTGATACATATGCACACAGCAGGAATTGCCCTAGTCATCATTTTGTTATGTTGAATTATTTGTTAGTCTAACACTTTGAAAAGTTATTAACTTTCTCATTTGTTAGAAGAAAGGTTTAGGGCGTGAAGGTAGTTCAATAACAGTGGTGCCAAATGCCTAGAAGTTACAGGGAATACGTCCTTTAATTTACACTCTAGAGCACATCCCTGGTATGGGTTTCAGTGTTCAAGATCCAATTCAATGGTCCAAACAGCGTCCAGTTTGGTTGTTTCTGATTTGGATTGGATCCCTAAATACAAGAACTATCCAATCTTGATCGGTTTGTAGATTTTTGAATCAAATTCAATCCAACCTAGGATTGGAATCCAATCCAATTCAATGTCAATTGCATTGGATAGAATGACAACATATTTTGATAAAATTAGGTGTAAGCACCTTGTAACAAAAAGATTAAAGCTAAAGAAAGTGCTTTGGTCATATCACATACCAAACATTATTCATCCAAAAGTTTTAGAACTTATTTATGTAATTCCAAATGCCTATGTACTCCCCTATTAAATTGAAAGCTCTATCCTGATAAAGATATATGTTAAAATGTGATTGATGGACCTTTTCATCCTTCGGTAGTGTATGTGTTAACTGATTATGTGTTTAATTTGTAATTTGCTGCAACTTTGTAGCACATTGCAGGACGCTTGGAGCAAGAAGGAGCATCTTCAGATCCCTCTGTGAGGGGCCAAATTCAGACAGAATTTATGCAAGTAGGGCTTGCAATGCAACATTTAGGTGCTCTTTTCCTTGAGCTTGGCCGGACAATTTGGACACTTCGTATGGGACAGTCTCCTGTATGTTCTTATTGTATCTCAATATGTTTGGTGTAAATATGTGAATAATCGAGTATAGTCATTTACAATTATTGTGGCCGAAAAATCTGCAGGGAGAAGCTGTTGTGAATGCTGGGCCAGCAGTTTATATTTCCCCATCAGGGCCTAATCCCATAATGGTCCAGGTTCGTTGATGCGTATATAATGCGTTCATTTTCTTTACATGATATCACATATGGATTAAGCAAGACATGTCATAACTGAATGAATCCAGTGAAAAAGATAAGTATTGGGAAGTAACCCTGATATAATGTAGTGTATAAGTTAAAAGTAATAGCCATTAGTTCAATAACTCTAGTCATTGTAACAAGGCATTTTCTACTGCTTGTTGGTATGGCCCTTCGTTGAGCTTTGGGTAATTTTGTTTTAAATGATTGAGCTGGCTTAGATGTCAACTGAGCCTGGTGAATTGTGTGTTTTTTGCAGCCTTTTCCTCTTCAAACAAGCACAATGTTTGGTGGTTCTGTACCTCAATCAAATCCTATGACTTTTGGTCCTGTTGGTGTTGGAAGTGCTCCAAGGAATGTAAACATTCATATACATGCTGGTAAGCAAAATTCATCATTGACTTGGCCTATGTACCTTTTATGTAGCAATGTAACGCTTTTATCATCAGGTACCTCACTTGCGCCAATGGTTTCTGCAGTTGGTGGTGCTAGGGGAAGTAATGGGGAGGGTATGCCGAGAGAACATCGTAATGGGTCTGGTTCTAGAGATTCAGGTGCACGGGTGCTGCCAGTGAGAAATGTAATTGCTGCCACTATGCCAACATCCCAAACTGGTATTGCAATCTCTGGTGTGTCACAACCAGGTCTTTCTGCTTCACAGCCGCCTTCCGACTCCTCACTTTCCTCCATTGTTTCTGAACTTAATTCACATATTAGAAATTTTGTTGGCAATATGCAAGGAGAAGACGCAGTTCAATCAGGTACCTTGCCGTATGTGCTTTGGATTCTGGTGGATACATAGTCACTCTAGTTCTCCTGAGCTTTTTTTTTCTTCTGTAATCAGGTCAAGAGGTACCCAATGTTCAGAGTTCATCTGTTGGCTTTGAATCGCGTAATGATGCAGGAAGTGAACTGCCCAGTACTGCATTTGTTGATGGAGCTGGGGAATCTAGTGTGCCGATACCTGGTTGCACATCTGAAGGTGGAGGTCAGAAGGTATTATTTTTTGCGCATTCTTGGAGTCCCCCTTTTTATGGTTGTTTGGTTGATTCTTTCGTTGATGTAACCCAATCCCCAACCTTAATCTGACAAAGTTAGTAATTCTCAGGATTCAGGAAGTGTTCCTACCTTGAAAGATGATTCAAGATTCCCAGCTGGAGGTCCTCTAAGCTCTTCAAGTGGACAAAATACCTTGGCGAGAAAAGATGAGAAAGAAAGTGGTCCACAATCCAGTGAGAAGCATGACATGACTGAGGGTACAAAAGCTGTTCCACTTGGATTAGGACTTGGAATTTTGGACCGTAAGGTATGATATTTATGCATCCGTTTTATAGCTTTAAGCAAGAAATGAGCTTGAATAAAATTTGTGTCCCATGGTCTGTAATTATTCCGTTATGCATTTACTGCTGGTCTTGGTAAGTTGGCTACTGGGACTGTTATTTCAGCAGTTCATTAAAGTAGAAATATTAGGCCATATTATGTGGGATGTAGTGCTTGGGTAAGCATTTAGGGTGTAGATTCTACTGGTTTGTCTGTTTTTAGGCTCCCACCTAACAAAACAAAAATAAATAATTAAAAAAATTAATCTGCAATCAACTTACACTTTTCTTATTGAGACTGAGACTGTATCATTGATCCAATCAGAGACAAGGCAGGCAGCAAAAACCACTGGCCAAGAATGGTGATGGCGGAATGGCTAGTGCTCCCATCAATCAGAATCAGCAAGTAACAGGTGGTCAGCAAGTTTTGCAGTCTCTTGCATCTCGTGGTTCTGCTGTAAGTAGGATGAACACAAGTGATGCGCCTGCAAGACAAACAGCCCCTGCTATTGGGCAGGTCAGAGATGGTAGAGCATTGGGAGCGCAAGGTCCTGTTGACCAAGTTGATATGGGAAGCGTGATGTCTCAGGTTCTGCGTAGTCCTGCCCTGAATGGTTTATTGGCAGGTGTTTCAGAGCAAACTGGAGCGGGTTCTCCTGATGCATTGAGGAATATGTTGCAGAGCTTTACACAGAGTCCACAGATGAGGAATGCTGTCAATCAGATTGTTGAACAGGTTGACAGCCAAGATATTGGAAACATGTTTGCAGGACTTGGAGGAGGCCAAGGTGGCGGGATTGACATGTCCAGGATGTTCCAACAAATGATGCCCATTGTATCTCGAGCCCTTGGGGCTGGGGCCACTCTCGGCCAACCAAACCCTGTTTTGGAACCTGAATCTCATCCACCATACAATGAGAGAAGTCTCAGCAGAGATGATAATGTCCCAAATCCTGAGGTTTGTATGGACTTCATAACTTGTATATTCATCTAAAGCTCGTTTCTAGATTGCAGATATTAGTTGTTATGTGCTGCTGGTCAAATCCTGCATGGACCACTTACTTAGCTTGAGAGGGAATTTAATGCCTAGACTAGGAGTTATAGTGAATCAGCATATACTAGGTTTCATACTGATTTGAATTAAATTTCTCCTTTTAAAAAAAAATAGATACGTTGTCTTCTTCATTTTTTGCCATAAATGTGGTGTTTTACTTCACATGCACATGTTAAGTTTCACTCTTAACATTATCTGCTTCTATCATGGGAATTAAAGTTGATTTTGGAGTGGTTGCTTGGTATGGTTTGTATCCGGAGAATAACTTCTGTATGTGTAGTCTGTTTGTGGAACTATTACTTTACCCTATACCTGATGCAAAACCAAGATTATTCGGACCTAAATCAATTGATATGCATAAGGTGTTGGTTTTTTTTTCGGAATTAAGCCATGAATTGTAATTTTTTTTCTTCTTTTTCCGTTAAATGCTCTATAGATTAACCTGCAAGAAGTGGTTCAGAGGATTGGGAACCTGAATGCACCAGGAGATGTTTTTCACGCTGTAGTTGAAAATTCAGTTGAGCTGTCTGGCAGAGGAAGCAGTCCACAAGAACTTGTGGATGAGTTGTGCAGGGACGATGGTCTTTCTAGAGTATGTGTTCTATGCTTTGACATATGTCTCTTCTTCAGAAGATGCTATCCTTACCATATTTTGATAATTTTCTCTTTTCCACTTGTGCAGGAATACGTTGAGATATTACGAAGGGACATTCGTAGACGTCTTGAGGGTAATTCGGGGCAGGACGAGTGTTAATATTATTGCTTTGCGGGCGGGTGTTGCTATGGAATATGGATTCCCATTGTTGGTTGGCATGCGGGAGTGTGGGTTTGCTCATGTTTTCACAAGCTGTCGCTTGAAATTTGTTTTACAGGTTGTCGAGAATCTGATGTACAAATTAGGATTGGGGATTTGATTTGCTTTGGATATATTACCATCTGGTTCGTTGTGTGAACCAGTTTTATAAATTTTTAATTGATTTTTATTGTAAACAAACACATCATCAGATTAACTTACAGATTTTCAGTAATGTTCGACCACTCAGTTCTACAAAAAGATATGTAAGAGGTTCTCTTTTATATTATCTTTTTATTTTCTGGTAATGCCTCTTATAAATGTTTAATGATTCAGTTTTTTGTTATCGTATTTTTGGACACAAACACTCAAGAATATAAGCTAATGAAGCTCAGCCACTTTCCTACATTAATATCCATGGTGCTACACTCAAACGCTAAAATCAGATTATAGCAACATCAAATTCGGCGTGTAAATGAATCATAAAATTTGGATTTCAAACGGATTATCGGATCAAAATCCGATCCATTTGGGAGGAGTGGGGCCTTTTTCTTTTCCTTTTGGGTTATTGGAAGGCCAAGGCCTTTATGAAACATACAGAATCGAATGAGTGTTTTTTAATTTCTTTTTTGGGTTATTGGTAGGCCAAGGCCTTTCTGAAACATACAGAATCGAATGAGTGTTTTCGAAACGAAAAACTTAAAATCAACTTGGAAGTAAGAAAAGGAGGCGCGCAGAAAAATATTCTGCAGGAGTTCCATATTCACTAGTATTAACTATTGACTATTGAGTCGTAAACAATTTCTGAGAGGACAGTTGTGAATTTCCAAAAAAAAGTGAGAACTCTTGTTTGTAACTATCGCTCGTTCGCAGCTCCGGAGTTTCCACCAAGTGCAGGGACGTTGAATGGAGGAGTCAGCCGATGTCAAGGCCAAGAAGGCTGGGGCTCGCCTGTGCTGCCTCTGTCATCAGAAAAAAGCTGCCCTGAAGAGGCCCAAAACCCTAGAGCAGGTAATTTTGCCTACTCCGATCATGGAAACCTATTTAAACTACCTTCTGTTTGTTTGCCAAGAAGCTGAGACGAGATACATAAACTCGTCAACTGTATTTTGTGGTACGCGTTTATTATAAAACCCTAGAACAGAACCGCCTGAGTTTTTTTATTTCTTTAGAAAACAAAATTGAAATCGATGATTGTTTATGAAGATTTGCAGGGAGTGTTTCTATGAGGTATTTGAGGAGGAGATCCATCAGGTAATTGTCGAAAACCAGTTATTTAAGCCTGGTGAGCGCATTGCCCTTGGCGCCTCTGGTGGGAAAGGTAAACTAACCAAGCTATGCTTGTAATACTAGTTAATGTCATATTAGATTGTAAAAGTTAAGTGGACTTAAGCTTTTCTTCTGATAATTGCTTTTTATGTTATTTAATACTGTCAGATTCCACTGTCCTTGCTTATGTGTTATCGGAATTGAATAGGCGGCACAATTACGGCCTGGATCTCTTCCTGTTGTCAGTGGATGAGGGCATTACTGGCTACAGGGATGATTCTCTTGAGACCGTCAAAAAGAAATGAAATCCAGGTGAAGTGAATTATCAATTGCTGGTCAGTTGCATGGTCATATGTATTTTTGTTTTATGTTTTTTTTTTTTTTTTTTTTTTTTTTTTTTTTTTTTTTTTTTCTGTTAATCTCTTGTTCAAAATTTCTACTTTCAGTATGGTTTGCCTCTAAAAATAGTCTCGTACAAGGATTTGTATGGGTGGACCATGGATGAAATAGTTAAGATGATTGGTCTCAAGAATAATTGCACCTTCTGTGGTGTTTTTCGTCGTCAGGTATTTTGCTTTTATTGGAAATTGACTGCTTGTGTATTTTTTTTAGAAATCTTGTATGCATGTATTTAGACATGACATCAGTATTCCTATGTTTTGACAACATCAAAGCTGTGTGGTTACTCCACAGAAACTTGTGCTGCTTATTATTTATTTATGAACAAGCAATTAAAGCGTCTAAAACTATTCACACAACCTTGTTTCCCATAACATCTTATAATTTATAAATTCTAGCATAGATTAGCTTTCTGTGTCATTAAGCATGCAAGGCATGGACAACGTTTATTGGTTGTGAGAGATTATATGGAATTATTCAACTTAATGTATTTAACTTTTTATCTCTAAGGCCCTCGATCGCGGTGCTGCATTGTTGAAGGTAGACAAGCTCGCTACCGGACATAATGCAGATGATATTGCTGAAACAGTTCTGTTGAACATATTACGAGGTGACATTGCAAGGTACTTCATTGAGGTTGTTCTTTATTATTTTTTCCTCAGCTGGTTTATGTGGTGAGCTGAATTGCTGGTTTTATTTTGTAGATTGAGTAGATGCACTTCAATTGTCACTGGTGAAGATGGGCCAATTCCAAGATGCAAACCTTTTAAATACACTTTTGAGAAAGAGATTGTTATATATCCTTACTGCTGAAATCCTCAATACTGATTTCTTTCTTTGATCACTGTTGTTCATCTTAATAATGAGTTGGATTTAGTTGTGAAGCCTTAACTAGATTTGCACGTATGCATATTTCAAGAGGCTGGACTACTTCTCCACCGAATGTAATTTAGTTTTACTCTAAGCTCCTTCAGATAATTTCGCTCAAGTCTTGCTCTGTTATTTTCACTCCTCCCAACCACCCTTGCCACTATATTCTATGTTTTTGTGCTTTCCTGGTTAGATCTCATAAGCCATTGTTGTCAAAATTGCAGGCATTTATTCACCCAATGCTTATCGTGGTTTTGCTCGCGAGTTCATCAAGGATTTGGAAAGAATCAGGTGGGTTAGCTTGTTGTGAGTCTGTTTAGGCAATGTTTCACTTGTTGGCATTGTAGTTTTCACAAAATTTAATCATATCAGACTTCTGTATGCACATTCCATACTTTTTTGACAATTTCCTGCACTTCTTTCTACTGAAGACCTAGAGCCATACTTGACATCATCAAATCAGGAGAGAACTTCAGAATTTCCACTTCTACAAAAATGCCAGAGCAGGGGACATGTGAACGGTGTGGTTACATTTCAAGCCAGGTAAGTTTGTTACTACATTCACCTTGGTAAACATGGCATCTGATTGCAATATCTGGTTAATATTAAATTCTCAATCTACTTTCGTTATCTGGGTAAAGCTGGCTGGCTAAGCAAGATATCGCAATCGTCCCAAAGTTTTGGAATTACATTTATTGGTGTGTGGTCATAATTTTATTAGACAATCTGAACATTTATTGTTTTATTGTGCAGAAATGGTGTAAGGCCTGTGTTTTGCTTGAGGGGCTGAATAGGGGTTTGCCAAAGCTGGGAATTGGACGGACTCGTGGACTTAATAACGATGATAAGAAGGATACAAAGAAAAATAATGGAACCAAAAGCATCGAAAGCAAACAGTGTGGAACTTTGGACTTCTGATATAACCTGCAAGGCTATTGTATAAATGTATGATAGTCTCAGTATGGCCAAGGGAAGTATTTCAAAGACCAAAATGAGTACTTCAATGTTCCATGTGGCTATTGTGACGAGACGAGAATGATAAAGACACCCAAAAGAGTTGCCAGAGGAACGGACTTCATCTTTCCTCGTGTCCGGATAAGTTGCAGAGTAGAAAGACCGGTGGAGATTCCATATCACCTGTAATTTGGTAGTATTGCAGGAAATTCTTTGTAACTCTTGTAATGGTTTTGATGTAGTGGGTAAAATTACTTTTTTGTCGGTATCAGATCGTAAGAGGCCTGAGGTGTTTTGAATTTTACCAACTCTAATTATGTAATTTTGGTTTGGGCCCCCGAGTATTTTTAGACCAAGTTGTACTTGTATACCCTACTCATAGGATTCAAGCGTGTAGCAGCTTCCAATTTTGTCAGAAGATTTTCAGCAATGAAAAGATTTGAGTTTTCTGTACTGGATGTACGCTACTTGTAAATTATATCCGTGGTTTCGAAAAAGAAAAAAAAAGGAAGAGCTAGGCAAAAAAAAATTCAATTTGCCAAACCCTATTAAAAAAAGACGCTTGTTTTGAAACCAGGGATATCATTTCTGTTCTTAAAAAGAAATAATCCGTAAAAATTGCTGATAAGAAGAAATTGAAAATAAATAATCTGTAAACAATAGCTGCCTGTCCCATATATTTTCCTTGAAGAAAAAAAAAGCTGCATATTTAAGCCTCATATTTTATTTGGGGGTGTCGTCTCGCTCTCGCAGCGCTCTGAGTAACAGTCTAAATTTACGTCGTTATGGCATCATCGGCACCGCCAAGCTCAGCCGCCCAAAACCCAGCGAAGTCGTTGGGTTTTATTGCAACCGCTATGAAGCGGAAGGACAGCTTCATTCAGTTCTTCGCAATGACTGGAATTTTGCTGCTGAGCGTCAGATCGCTGGGCCAAAAGTATCGCCTCCACGATCTTCACGAGGACACCTCGGCTCTTAAGGAGGAGCAAGAAGCCCTTGCCAACCGCATGAACAACATAAAGCGCGATCTCCTCCACGAGGCCTCTCTCGAGCCCACTGGTCTCTTCGCTTCTAGGCTTCGCCTTCTCTTTGGCGAACGAGAGTGATCGCACTGTGAGTTGATGTTCTGAGGATTCCTTCTCTTTCTCGTCACTCTAGGTAGTTATTGGGAAAGGGATGCGAAATTTAACCCGAATTTGATAAATTGGATGCTCAATTCAGTGGTTTCTTGTTTCTTACTTGTTGTCAACCTAGGGTTCTGTATCCTTATTTCGTATTCCTGTGAGTTTAGGATTTTGACGCAGACTGTATACTGTTTCGTGATCGATTTTCGCTTAGGTTAGTTTGTTTAGTGGAACGTGACAAGGAAGTAATCTTTCAAATAAATTGTTGAACACTGAGCTTAATTTACATTTTCTTTTTCATTGTGCGTGAATATGGTTTACATTGTTTGGTTAGGTTTCTTGCATTTGCTCCCTTTTTATAGGTGATATGAATTAAGTTCGAGATAATTGATGAATTGATTGTTTGAGTGGTTTGCTTGGAGCTTGGGATTCAAATGTTCTGTTCATTCTGATCCTGCTGAAGGATTTGGTTATGTTGTCTGTTTTCATAGGTTTTGGGGGTTTCTTTTTGAAGATACCTTCCATGGAAAAATGTTGTTTGGCTTTGATTTTGAACAATTTCCAAGTAAAGTTGAGGGTCTTGCATTTTGGTTATGAAACCTCTTGGACAGACGAAACAAGCAAATGAAGTCTGTTTCAGTTTCATGTTTCCTAGTGATCCTCAAGTAGCCAGCGGATGTTGCATTAAGCAATTAAGAATCCCTTCACAAATGTGAAAGTTATCACTCATTCGGAAGAGTAAAAATAGATTGACTCTGCATAAGCGTCTTTATCCCTTTTGTTTTTTCTTTCTTCATTTGCTCATATATTCAAAGTGTGTGTTCTACTATGGTTTGTAGGGCATTCTTCCATAAATATGTGTGCGTCCTACATCTAAAGGATGGTCCAACCATGTAGGACAATTCTTTTGTTACTTGTGAAAACTACAGCTTGAGTTGAATTGTTAAACTTATTTGTGTTGTACGTTCAGTCCGCGCTAATTTCTTGTTAGCCTGTGTATTGGACCATTGAGGGTTTTTTTCTTCTTCTTTTGTTAATAACTATAGATGTCGTTTTGTATGTGGCTGCAAATTGCTTTGTCTTGCGTCTCAACTACTCTGGGCGATGAGGATTCTCTGTTTAGATATGAGCCTTCGATAGAATAAATACATTGAAGCGATTTGTTGGGGTTAGGCTCCCTTCTCATATAAAAGATTAGAATGTTAGAATTTGGAAAGTGTATTATTTTACTTGGGTTGCAGAGTGTCGTGTTGTGAGGATTCCCTGCTGTTACACATGATGCTTATCTTGATTCTTGATGATGATGATGATGATGATATAGGTTATTGGGTTGCAACTTGCAAGGCATCTCAGTTTACCAAAAGAGTCAAAAAGAAGTGTGATCAAATTTGAATTTTTAAAACTTGAGCTAAAATGAATATGAACGAGGAGTGAAGAATCAATCATTGTTATAGCTTTTGGTATTCATATGATTGCTTTGCTCAACTTAATTGCACTGCAAGTCTGTAGCGTTAGGACGTTGATTGAGATTTGAGAAGAATGTGTGCATGTGTTGCTTTTTCATGATTATGAGTCCCACATACGTCTTAAATCTTTTTCATGTCAATAATGTTATCGTCATACACTAGAGTCTACAGCTGTGTTACCCTTAGGGGGAGGACATAGATTTGATGGCTACGTGGTGTATGGTTTGAGTTCAACATGCCCACTAATCACGGTTGAAGGGACCTACTACCCAGCCAGGGGAGCATCATCATCAATTTGTATACTTTTGAACTGCATTTGAATTTCAATTAGAAACCGCGTAAGCATGTTGCTTTTTCCTTTTCCTAAATTTTGGGGTTTTTAATTTTAAGTGAGAAAATCTCCTTCCAATTTTTCTGGCACGCATCTGTAATAGGATAGGTCATAGGAGTCTCATAATGCTGTCAATTCAGTACTAAAAATATAAAAATGAGATTAGTCACACATGAAAATTAAAAAATGAGGTGTCATTATCTAACAAGATAGCTTTGAGCACAATTCTCATTCTGTGTGTGTGGATATGTAAAAGCGTTGACATAAACGCCAATACCCAATAGAGTGAGTCTCATTCAAGTCTGTCACGTGAATGAATGCTGCAAACAACCCAGAGTCCCAATTCAGTTAACTTGCGATACTTTTCTATTTCGTTCTTTTAATCCCATATGCCATTAGAGACAAGAAAGTTTCATGTCAATAACTAGAGAGAGAAACAAAGTGAATTTTTGGTGGATATTCACTTTTGTTTATTATTTATCACTACTCGAATTTTGAATAGAAACTGGTTTTGTTTATGAGAGCTGCTTAATTCATTGAAGGAAGTAGGAAATTTCGTTAGAACTGCCATGACAAGAAAAATAAAGCCTGTCGGCGGCTGCCTATGTATAAATTGGAAGTAGAGGTGGGTAGGGTCTAGCGTGTGAGATTCATGACTCCATTATATACAGAGTCACGTAATTTAATCTAGTTAAGTTAATAACTTTACAGTGGAAGCGGAAGTTGGAAAGGAAATGGTTGAGTTGACTAATGACTGATTAATGACAATAATGAGGGCCCTACTACTCCGCTGTTAAACTCTCATCACATTTTCACATGCAATCTCTCAGGAGGAGGATGGCGCCAAAACGAAACCTCTACCCTTCGCTCTCACACACAGCACAACACATTCGTCACAGAGTCGCAAATACAAAAACCAACCCAACCCCATGTGGCAGACACAAACACACACACCCACACCGCAACTCAAACTTGGTATGCCTTTATTCAATTCATACACCATATATAATTATAATCAATTATCAATAGTAATGTAACAAAACACCACCGACACCGCAATTTTCTTTTTTATTTCCAAATTATTTCCAATTTAAAAAATAATAATTTTTTTATTAACTTTCCCTCTCTTTTGTTTTCTTTGCGGCGAGGCTACATCTCACCCTTCCTTTCTTTCTGTCCCGCACTTAAATTCGTCCCATGCCTCATCAAATGTCATCATCATCGTTCACTCTTCTTCCCTTCTCCTTCCTTCCCCTCCCTTGTTTTAAACTCTCAAACACGCTCCCTGCTATTATATAGCTTTTTCCTAAGTCCAACCATTCCAATCCAATACAACACACCAAAGAGCCAAACACTACACTAGTATTTATACTCTCTCTCTCTCTCTCTCTCTCTCTCATAGAGACAGAGAGTCATTGGCTTAAAGCCTTAGTAAGTAAGGTTCCCTCCCTCCCTCACACATACAAATGTCGCTCAACTTTGCGGGAGCTGCGGTTTCCGCACTGCTATGTCTCACTACTCTGTTTTCCATTGTCGCTGCTGAAGATCCGTATAAGTTCTTTGAATGGAATGTTACTTATGGCGACATCTACCCACTTGGTGTGCGCCAAAAGGTTTGTTCAAATCTATAATTATTTTTAATGATGATTTCCTTGCACATTTTAATTTTATTTATTTATTTTTAAAAATTTAGAAGGTATACTACACTATGTATGTGTACACGATCTATTTGATTTCTGAGTCTGATCTGATTGAAATGGATCCGATCTGTTGTTCGTTGTTCTTGTTTTTCTTCAGGGGATACTCATCAATGGTCAATTCCCAGGCCCAGATATTCACTCTGTTACCAATGACAATCTCATCATCAATGTCTTCAACAGCTTGGACGAGCCATTTCTCATCTCCTGGTACACACTCCACTCCACTCCACCACTCTCTCTCTTTCCTCGCTACTCTGGCTCTCTGCCAAGTGCGAACATTATCACCCCCAAAATGCAATTAATATTTGTTAATAACTTAATAGGCTTGGCTTATATCTTATATCTTATATCGTATAGGGAATGTGTTAAAAAGACAAGATTGCCCTATTCATTCTGCCCTTATTATAAATATTATAAACCTTTGATTGGAGTGCGGGGTTAGGACATTTCGTTACTGTAAATAGGCGTCATGTGATTCATATCATATTACAGCTAGCAGAGGAAGTGTAGCAAGCAAGCAAGCAAGGGCCACCTGCCTAATGCTGAGCCCACATTTGTCTTTCAATTCTTTTTCTTTTGTTTTCTGTGCATTGGCGGCGTATCAGAATCGTGTATATGCCACTTGAAAAAGAAGAATAAAGAATTGAAGTTCCATTTGGATTTGGGTTTCAGTGTGATTCACGAGTTTGAAGTTAGATCTGGGTTTAAGATTTTGCATGACTCTCGCTAGTTGATGAGGAGGGGTGGGCATGGATCTGATCCGGTCACCGTTATTAATAATTGTAAGGGAAGGGAAGGGAAGGGATCTAATATAGTACTAGTACTAATACCACTACATGTAGAAATTAGAAAGGGAGTCTTGTCTAATCCTATTCCATGATTAAATTACGCGACAGCAATTGCGGAGCCCAAACATTTAATCACCCTTCCTACCTCATCTGCATAACTAATCATGCGGCTCATGTCCCCTTCCTTCCATTAAGTTTTTTTATCTTTTATGGGGACTGGAAACCCTACCATTAGTTGGGTCAGCTAGACGAATGAAAAAATAAAAAAAGGACCCGACAAAATCAATTGCTCAATTATGTAAATTTGGACTTTGGAGCACATGCTATTGCCATTGATCTTTTTCTTTTTCTATTTTCTTTTTGCAATTTTTTTTGGGAGTTTCACTAAAACACCCAAAATGGGAGTTGAAATTATAAAAAAACCCAAGCACTATTTAAACATATAAACACACCCAAAACCCATCATTACACACACTCAAAATCCATTTATAAACACACTCAAAAAGTTGACTTTGGGTGTGTTTCTATGTTTAAATAGTGCTTGGATTTTTTTATAAATACATGTCTAGGATTGAGTTTATTTATAAATTTGTAATTTTTTTTTTCTAAATAAAAAGAACAGCAGAGTATGGTAATCAGAAAATATTAAAAGTCTCTTGACTGGTTGGAAAATAATAATAATTAAGTCTCTTGACTGCGTTGTATGTTTGTACCAAAAGGTAAATAATTAAGTAATTAGATTGAATAAAAAGGAGAGGATCTTGGTAAATTAAACAAAAAATTAGTTTATGTAATTTGGAGTTTAATATGGTTATTATTGTACTGTACCGTGTGTAAATATAGGAATGGAATTCAACAGAGAAGGAATTCATTTGAGGACGGCGTGTACGGAACAACATGTCCAATACCACCAGGGAGGAACTTTACCTACATTCTACAAGTCAAGGATCAAATTGGGAGTTTCTACTATTTCCCGTCTCTTGCGTTCCACAAGGCTGCTGGTGGTTTTGGAGGCATCCGAATTCTCAGCAGGCCCAGAATTCCCGTCCCTTTCCCTGATCCAGCTGGTGATTATACTGTTCTTATTGGGGATTGGTACAAGTCTAATCACACGGTAAACCTTTCTTATCTTTTCTCTTCTCTTAACATTTTCTTTTTTAATTATCAAGTCAAACATTTAACTGTGTTTTTTAAGAAATACTTACATAAAATAGAGATAATATTATCTTACTATTTTCAGTCAATCAGGATATATTACGTATGATAACTTTTTCTGTGACATTTTATAATTAACCGACTATTCCATTTCATACAAGTTGTTCCGGTGTTTCTGGTTCGTGTATAGTCTCGTTTCGCACATGTTTTAAGAAAATAAAAATAAAACGATTACGTCCGTCGGTGGCATGTTTACCTTTCTATCTCTGGACAGCTGGACCTCTTTGACATTTGTGATCTTGTGTCGGTAAAACAGCCTTTTTCTTTTATTTTATTGCGTTTAATAATGAGAAAGCATCTCGAATTATACGTTTTTGTTTCAGTGATTTTGTGGTTTACGGGTCTGGAAGATACGACATTTTTTTGGGCAGATGTTGCTATGATTATTTTTATATTTTTAGAGTATACCTTGTTGGTATGCGGGCTGGGGATAACTATGTGGGCACATGTTATGTTGGACCACGGACGCAGTATTGTCCGAGTCACATTCCTTCATCCGCCCACCCACGCCCAATGGCCCATGGTCGCACCGTTTGTCTCAATGTTACATGTAGTGTAGCCATGTTTTATTGTCCTGTGGGTCACTATTTGCATTTGGAACCCTTTTGAAGATTGGGGAAGAAACAGCAGCACTATACCAAGTGGAAGTTGGTGACTTAAAATTGAAGCTAATAATTCCAAACAGTAAATCTCAGTAACCAAATGTCAGATGTCGGAAACTACCAAAACAAAACATAGGTGGAGAAAAGATAAAACACACAGTTTGGGCCTGCGAGGTGTTTGGTTGTGTACACTCTAGAGCCCAACAACTAGGCATTTGGATCAAATTAATGAATGTTAATGTTGGTGTTGGTGCTGTCTCGTACAGAGCTTGAGGGCTCATCTGGACGCTGGTAAGAAGCTGCCTTTCCCTGATGGAATCCTTATCAACGGTCGCGGGCCCGGTGGATTTTCTCTTAATTTCGAACAAGGTGTGCTTCCATTGCTTCCAAATTTTAATGTCATTAAGCCTAGCTAAGATTTCCTTAATAAGTGCATTGATTATATATGCATTGCATTGCAGGCAAAACTTACAGGCTGAGAATATCCAACGTTGGGTTGCAACACTCCCTCAACTTCCGAATTCAAAACCACAATTTGAAGCTTGTAGAAGTGGAGGGAACACACACCCTGCAAACCACCTACTCATCGCTTGATGTACACGTGGGCCAATCTTACTCCGTTCTAGTAACCGCTGATCAGCCCGGGCAAGACTACTACATTGTGGCTTCCTCTCGTTTCACCACTCCGATCCTCACCACCACCGGCACTCTTCATTACACCAACTCTGCTGGCCGAGTCTCTGGCCCACCCCCCGGTGGACCTACCATCCAAGTTGACTGGTCTTTGAACCAGGCCCGCTCTATCAGGACCAATCTTACAGCAAGTGGACCCAGGCCAAACCCACAGGGTTCCTACCACTATGGACTGATTAACACAACCAAGACTTACGTGCTGGAAAATTCTGCCGGGCAAGTGAATGGCAAGCAAAGATATGGAGTGAATAGTGTGTCGTTTGTCCCGGCAGACACTCCCCTCAAGCTGGCGGACTACTTCAAAATTGGAGGAGTTTTCCGCGTAGGAAGCATCTCTGACAGGCCTACTGGCGGGGGATTGTACCTTGACACCTCCGTCTTGGGTGCTGATTACAGAACCTTCGTCGAATTTGTGTTCCAAAACAACGAAGACATCATTCAGAGCTGGCATCTTGATGGTTACTCTTTCTTTGTTGTTGGGTAAGCACTCCATACACACACAATTCTTCAGTTTTGGTTTCTTGACTTGATCATTAATAAATGCATTGAATGAATATTGGTTGCAGTTTGGATGGAGGGCAGTGGACGCCCAATAGCAGGAAAGAGTACAATCTCAGAGATGCAGTTTCACGTTGCACCATTCAGGTGATTACTTCTTCTTATTCTTCTGTATGTTTGATATATATTATAGATAGAATATTGATGGATTGGATTGGATTGGATTGGATGGGTGAATGGTGAGTGCAGGTGTATCCCAAGTCATGGACGGCAATATATGTAGCACTTGATAACGTAGGAATGTGGAACTTGAGGACTGAGTTTTGGGCACGGCAATACCTTGGACAACAATTATACCTGCGTGTTTATACTCCCTCAACTTCCATTAGGGATGAATACCCCATCCCCAAGAATGCACGCCTTTGCGGTAGAGCAGCTGGCCGACGCACACGACCACTCTAAATTTAAGGCACCACACTTGGAAGAACAAGGCCTCCTCTGTTCTGTTCTGTTAGTATCTAGCTAGCTTGCTTAGTGGATCCATCAAGATTGAACAACGTCAGTATCTTACTGTTTGCTTGCTTCTTCTAATTTGTTCAACTATTTATGATGTCAAACGCGGAGGACGTGTAGCATTGCAACTGTCAAGGACCTCAGCTCGAGGTCACATTCTTTTTTACAACACATTTTGTATTCCCCCTTATTGTTTGAGGTTTTCATGTACCTAATTAAATTATTTATGGTAAGGCCGGGGGTGACCCGCCCTCAAGTTGCCCCTCATCTCAACTTTTCTATTCTTACCTTTGCTACTTATTAGAGCAAGTCCACCACAGCAGGCCTGCCAGGGCAACAGGCCCCCCAGGTGAGGTTTGGACCTTCAGCGCAAACAATTCAGCCCGGGCAAGCCCACAGGCAAATCCTGTTTGGGATGTTCCTCTCGGGCTGCTGACGTCAGCGCCTATTTTTCAAATATTTTTTACTGTTGGCGCGTGGAATACACACGCCAACAATAAAAAAAGATTTGAAAATCAGCCGCTAACCCACCAACCCACATAGCCCAACGGCTATAAGCCACGTGGCTTCCCCTGCAACCTCCGATCAAAAAATCTTGTCCAATCCAATGGCTATCCAATTTATAGCTTAAAAAAATTGAAAAAAATTCTAGAAAATTTTTTCACTTTCCACACCAAATTTTCTACTACAAAATTTCATTTGTACAAAAATACAAATGGCCTCTTCCATTGAAGTCGGATGGTCGTGGACAAACGTTCAAAGAGGTCAAAATCTTGGCAACGAGGTAAAAAAAAGAAAAAGAAAAATTGCCGTTTTATTCAATTTAATGTCATTATATATATATATATATATATATCTTGCATTTCCAATTTCCTTATATTTTTTTAATAGATTATTCAAGGGAAAACAAAAAAGAGGAAAGCCATTACAAGTGGCTCCTCAAGTGAACAATGCCCGCAGTCGGTTCTAGTGGTGCGTTCCGTGTCGGAAATAATGACACTATTACGTCATCCAAAGGAAAATATTCCCCCACGTCGTGATCCGGTGGAACCACATCCACAAATAATGGAGTTGTCCTTGTACTTCATTGTGTCAGACTATAAGGACCGGGAGTATTTCAATTGTATGATAAGTGAGTAGGTATTTCAATTGTATATGTGAGATGTGAATTTTATAATAAATATGGACACGTGGCAACCAAAAATCTTATCCGAAATTTTAATTTGAAAATTTTATCCGAAAATGTTATCTAAAATTTTATGTGAGAATTTTATAATAAATAGTGACACGTGGAACCGAAAATATTATATGAAAAGCTATCAAAATTAATAGTTAAGTATAAAAAATAAAAATAAATAAAGTACAATGAATAGTATTTGCCCTTGCCTTAGACTTTTGGGGTGGAACCAAAAAAGGCAAGGTTGCCACTATTCATGTGAATAGTAGCAGTCATTGCATTGTCTTTGCCTTAGCATTAGCCTTTTGGGGTGGACATGCTCTTATATATCGGCTATATTCACCATGTCATCACATATATAGAAGTCAAAGGTTAGTGTGACTTGTTTTTCTTTTTTCATGTGACTTGTTAATCTTGTTACATGGTTATCCTATTAACCTTTTCTTTTTGGGGGTCTTATGACTCACCAACTCATGTCCCAATCTTTTAAATCCCAAATGATATGGTAACCTAATTTATTTGTAAATATTTGGACCCATCAACCTCATTTATTTATTTAAATAAATATAAGCAATTATCATATCATAGGACACAACCCTTAGTACTAAAAAAAAGCTCAGTTAAGTCAACGAGGTCGAGTCGAATGGGAAAATGGTTTTGACTTGCAGACCAGTAGTCTTAAGTTTGAACTTGCATGACACTTTGGTAGTGTGTGTGTGAGAAACCTCACTCCCCTTGTAGTTTAGACTATTGTGTGTATTTTAAAAAATAAAAGTTGAGTTGATGCAACATTTTGTGCCACTACTAGTCGCGACTTGTTACGGCTCGTTTGGAAGTGATCCTGAAGAGGTCAATAATCACTTTTATGGAGAATCACTTATCTAAATAATCGCTTTAAGTGATTTTATGGAGAAGCACCTTCCATGTGCTTCTCCCCATAAGTGATTAATGATGTGTTTATGAGCACAAACTCCTAAATGAGCCCTAAATGTGATTTTATGGAGAAACACCTTCCATGTGCTTCTCCTGATAAGTGATTAATGATATGTTTATGAACACAAACTCCTAAACAAACCTTAAATATATCAGCTTTGTTGGATTTTGCAATTTTGATTAAAATACCAACGAAGAGAAACCGTGGATGCGAATAGTGGAGGAACATTATTGTACAAAAGAAAATACCATTCTGATGCCACATGTTAATTTTTCAACGGTAAAAATCTATTTATGAGCACAAACTTGTTTTATCTAATACATAGTGTGCATGAGCTTGTTACAATAAGCTCAAAGTTTATTTTTTAGGAAGCATGTTCAGTATTTTTTTCTCTAACTCCACTAGTTATAGCATATTTTGCTATTAGGGTTTAACAAATTAGGGAAAATCTTTAGATGAAATCAAAATTATATGAGGTATAAGGTCGCATATTGAATGCTATATTGAAGCCTAAATCCATTGAATGAGAACTATATTGTGACTCTGGATGGCAAATAGACGTAATTAAGGTGATAGAGCACCAATATATATTGGTAAGTTGTTGATTCCATTTTAATTTGGTTTGGTTCTTTGAATTTCCTTATACCTCACAATTTCGATTTCAACCTAATTTTCCCCAATTTGTTAAACCCTAATAGCACAATATACCCTAATTCAATTAGAGGAATAAGAATGAAGGTGCTTCCTGAAAATTGTAAAATTTGAGAAACATAATGACCAATTTGACGAAATATTTTTTTTATTAACTAAATTAAATTTTCGTGTAAAACCCAATGATAAAAAAGTATTTTAACCCCGTAATCTATTAACGCTTGATTAAATGATATTTTTTCCCTCAGTATTGAAACGAAGTAACTAGACCTCATCATTTGGCCCGCGGGCTCATGGCCCAATAGGGCCCTGCCCGGCCCATCGAAAAAAAAGCTCGGCCTGACCCATTATGGGCTTTGAGATGGCCCGATCCGCCTTGGGCTGGGCTAGGTTTGGGCTTGGTGTTTGAAGCCCAGCTCAGCCCGATTAAGCCCAAGAAAGCCCAGCCCGCCCGCAAAAGCCCGGCCCGTTAGACCCACATACATATATAATTATGTATAAATAAGAGTTTAGGTTTAGGATTTTATCACTTAAATCACATATATAATTTGTTTCATTTCATTTACTTTTCTTTACTCATTCCTAGTTTATAATTGGATGATTAGCACATTAATTTGTGTCAATTATTAATTCAACAATTATATATATATATATATATATATAAATAAGATGAACAACATATCACATTACCAAATATAATCATATCACAAAACATAATCATACCACCAAATATAGTCATGTTTTTCTTGAACACATCACCAAATATTTGTATATTTATTCATACCATCCTTTAAAAAAAATATTTGTTTGATACTTATTATTTTTTTAAATTATTTCTTAAAACGTATTACGGTCTAATTATGTAATAACTTCAAAAATAATACTTGGTTTTATTATTTTTGTGGAAAATCTTATTAAGTTGTGTGACTTTATTGGGTGTTTTATGAATTTGGTTTGATGTGAAATATTGGAATTAAGTGAGTTTAATCTCAAATTTGGACTAAAATGCCCTTATGATTAAGTTTATGATTTTTTTTTAATGAAGTAGGCCCGTTTAGGCCCGGCCCGTTGGGCTTAGCCTGACCCGGCCCGATGGGCTTTCTCAAGCCCGGCTCATGGGTCGAGCTTGGGCTTTGAATTTTCTAAAAAAAACTCGGCCCGGCTAGGCCCAATATTTTCTCTCTCCTTTTTAAAGCCAAGGCTGGCCCATTGACGAGCCCTAAATTCAACTCTTGAAATGGAGAAATTATAGAATAGTATGGATGTACCACGTTAGCGTATGATACTTCCAGTCAAATTTTAACACGTGTTCATTTTTGAAAAGAAATTAATTACTTTATTACAGCTGGACTTACTTAACTTTTATCTTTTAAAATAAAATTAGAAAAGTCTTTAAAAAGAAAATTAAAGAATTTTCCAACCTTCCATCTCCAACTCAAACCCGCGCCACCCCTCTCCCTTGCTCTTCCTGTCAAACTCCTAGGGTGACGTCTGTAGCACGTTTCAGAGTATGCTTCAACTCAATCCACATCGGCTGTGCCTTCCATTGATTTTGTGTTGCAGAGTGAGAGTGTACTAGAGAGTGTTTGTAGCAAATTCAATGGTGCAAGTGAACAAAGATGTGTTGTGTTTGGGATTTGTGGATGCTGGGCTTTGCCCAAGTAACCCAAGGTGCTGCCATTGTGATTAGAGTGCATCAATTGGAGGACAATCTTCTTCAATTTGATTTGGCTAATAAAAGACTTGGGTTCAAAATAGGATTCTAAGGTGAATTGTCTGTTGAGCATCCGATTTTAAAGAGGAAGAGCAAGGAGAGGGGTGGCACATGTTGTGGGTTATGAGTGTTTGGGTTGGGGACGAAGGGTTGTTGGAAAATTATTTCTTTCTTTCTTTTTTATTTTTCTAATTTTATTTTAAAAGATAAAGGTTAAGTAAGTCCAGCTGTAATAAAGTAATTAATTTCTTTTCAAAAATGGACACATGACGAAATTTGAATAGGAGTATCATACGATGACGTGGTACATTTGTACTATTCTATATTCTCCTTGAAATGACCCGAAACATATTGTGTATTTATTTATTTTGTAAAAAGTAAAGAAAAGAAAAATACAACAGTGCCTTCCTGCGCCTCCGCGAGACCACGCAAAAGAGTGTTAAGTGAACTTACTTTTAAACTGGCTAGGGCAT